ATAGAGTTTCTTTGTGGAAAACAAAAGTCGAGTTTGTCTTGTTTCGTCTTCGACAGAGATTTCTCAACTTTGAAGAAATGTTTTTTGTGCCACAGAAGAAAACGCCTATCGTAGACCTATAAAGTACAACACCCTTTTACTATTGGACTTATATACAGAAATTACCATGAGACCCATTTTATACAGTTTTAATCCTACTAGCCTCAAAATAAGACGCGCGCGTCGCAAAGTATCGAGAGAGWTATAATTTATACTGCTATATATGGAATAAAAACTACCAACCTCGGGTTTTCATTGGCTACTCGTCTGAATATTTTCGGCCAGTCTGGCCTTCCTTGAGTAAGTCTTGCTCGTAGCCACGAGCCAGCACAACCCTTGGTACATGACTACACCGAATATGGACAACACGTGWTTAACTGGTTGGAAGTCACGTGATAATCATAGCATATATGATAGTGATACGGACTTTGATCGAAGCTTCGCTACGTCGAYACAAGGTTTCGCACAAAAACGATGTTATGATTCAGTTGAAGATATATGGTAATATGGTACTTATATGGTAATCACGTGATCACTATCATTACCTTATAAGGTAGCTGTGTATGTCGTTTAGTTGAGTAGAAGCAACAAACAAGAAAATCTGGACGATTTGTCTTCCACAGCTGAAGGAACAGAAATAAAAAAAAACATAAGAAAAATATCAGATAACTGTAGACAAATTTGTTATGAAGAGTAAAAATTAACGAACCTGATGATGTGTGGTGTAGAGAACATYGGTAAACCAACCGAACGACATCGCGTCGCGAGACACCCACACAAAGTATAAACGTCGCAGTTTTGTGCGATTGGTGGTAAGTGTTTCTTGTACTCTTAAATGAAATGTAAATGACAAAAAAATATTAAACAATGTGAGCTACAAAATTTAAAATCGACTGATTGATAGATTGGTTGCTTGTTGGATTGTTGTTTGATTGGTTGGTTGGGTTAGTTGGTTAGATATTTGGTTGGTTGGTTGGTTGGTTGTTTGGTTGCTTGGTTGGTTGCTTAGTTGGTTGGTTGGTTGGTAGGTTGGTTGGTTGGTTGGTTGGTTGGTTGGTTGGTTGGTTGGTTGTTGGTTGGTTGTTTCGTCCGTTATTTGGTTGGTAGGTAGGTTTGTTGGTTGGTTGGCTGGTTGGCTGGTTGGTTGGTTGTGATTCATAAGGTCAGTACGTTACCTATCACTGCTAATAACTGCTGCAAATGGAGTGACTCCTATACCAGACGCGATACACAAGCTGACGTCATACTGACAGATATCCTACAAATAATAACAGCAATGACGATGAGTTCATCCTCTTCATAATAACGGATTTCAAATGGATTAAAACTGTATCTTACCATGCATGGGCTTCCATAAGGGCCATCCACATTGATCCTGAATACTCATAAACGAATATTGTCAAAATGACTCATTGCGCCATTGCACTTAAAAACAGAGCAAATGGCACTGATACTAATTGTTGCGCCGCAGGAACAAAATCAACCAACGTCAATGAAAACGCAAGAAAACATACCTCACGTGAGCAGGCACGTTAACTATGCATGTCTTTTCGATAGTACTGCAGACCGGCAATGGAAGAGAGGTGTCTTTAACTTTTGACAGCTTCTTTGCAAACTTTTCTAATTTGAAAATACATTAAAACACCTTTGAAAACTAAACAATAGATTCGTGGAACGGCTTTTAAAGTCAAAGTATCAGTAACTAAGATAATAGCGACGTCACATTGACACTGCTGTAACTTGAATATGAACTTACTTGTCCAATCTCCAGATATCTTAAAATGTACTGCAAATACCTTATTGTCAAATGTGGGACACTGATAAGAAAGAATAAATATAGTAAGACATTTGCTTCGCGCATGCGCAACGTGATGCCACTTTATTACCTTAGTTAAAGTAAATGGATGCCATTCAAACAGTGCTATGTCACGGCATCGGATGTAAACGTACTGAAAAAATAACATTTAAGTAGACATTGAGCTTCTAGAGTAACTATAGCAGGGAGTTACACGTTACAACGGAAGCCTTCTTGATCCGGGATTTCCAACACTTATAGGTTTCAAATAAGTGGAAAAATAGTGATTTAATGAGTTTTAGTGATCGGCCATCAACAGGGGTGTGCACAGGAGAGGGGCTGAGGGTTGGGGTTCAGAAGTGGTTCTAATGAAGAAATGCAATATCACACACGAGCATAGATCATAAAACGATAGCAAARGTCTATTTACTTGTCCTGGTTGAGCTTGAAAACCCTTCAGTTTCATTCTTAATTCCACTACGTCGCAGGAATGTTTTACGACCTGACAAAGATAGAATATCCATCACTTCATCCATCCATCCATCTATTTATTAATTTATTTTGTTTGTAGGAATGATTCGTCTACCTTGATGATCTCTACTTCCTGTTGGTTTCTTATTACTCTAACCATTCTGTCCAGGAAATACAGACACACAGGAACAATTAGAAACTTCCACGCCTGTGCTTCGTCTGCCTGGAATTTGCATGGCTCGAGGCATGCTTTGGTATTGTTATATGACGTCATGTTCACGTCACGATACATTGTACAACCAGGGGGGTGCCTACGAAGGTTAACCTGCCTTTTGACCACACCTCTGAAACAGAGAAAATAAACAAATAAGTGGGCAAAASAAAAAAAGTAGAAAACGGGAAAAGAAAAGAAAAAAAGAATGGTTGCTTGCTGACTGACTGATTGATTGATTGATTGATTGATTGATTGATTGATTGATTGATTGATTGATTGATTGATTGATTGATTGATTGATTGATTGAAATATGGCTTACCCCAGTCCATGAACAGCAAGAAGAATGTAAAATGCAATGAAGAAATGATGCGAATACCAAAACACTTCGTAAGAACTTCTCCTACAATTATTAAATGGCAAAATAAGAATGTCAAGAATGGCATCATCTGTTAACATTAAAACACGTTCAATTATTCTGATAGCGTACCTTAATACTGGCATAGATGTACCAATCTAAAACGGAATCAAGAAATTCAATACAAAAGTTTCTAAGACAAAATCTTGAAACCAGTCATTTGTTAATGAATCGTTTCATACCATTAATATCAATATTACCATCATCAGGATACCTGTGCTCCCTGCAACTAACAATCAAATGACTGTTGCTAGAATGTTCATAATGCGATTTACTTATCATTAATTTATTCTGTCACCAATTCATGCGTTTTCTTATCCATTCATGGTTATTCATTTATTTATTTCACTACACGTTTATTCGTCGTTATATTTATTTTCACTTCTTCTATCGTAAGTATCTCGACTTTCCATCGGAGATATTTCGCACCTTCATCGGAAGAATCTCGCACTGCGGAGTACCTACATCGCAAACCCGAGTGAGCGCTTACCTGAGCACAAGACAAAAACCAGAGGATTCTACATCAAAACACGAAAAAAATTGTCAGGTATGTTTTTTTTATCTGGAAAATGGATTCAATCCACTAAAAGACGCTTGCCATCAGTCCTGAGAGACTTAGCTAACGCCAGGGTTCCCCTTACCTGATCTTTGTACTTAGCAAAGTTTAAATCTGCATAGTCTTGATTATAGTGTTTAGAGAAGTTTTCTGCGTTTATTAAATGGGCTATAGTATGTATCACTAAAGGACGAAGAGAAAGAGTTTTAACTACACAGGAAGCCCAAGTTGTATTTAAAGTTGACACAGGAAGCCCAAAGGAAACATGTGGCGATCGATCTATCGAGTTTCTATAATGTAATTTCTGAATGTAAAGTTTAATGCTTTTATTGATAGAAAAGCTTTCGTGTYCGGCTTTTCTAATTTTGGAAAATAGCAATGATAAAGCAGTTTTTGACCCCGTTGAATGGTACWGGACAGATCTTTAATAAAAATACCTGAGGCCGCTAYCGTGATAAAGGCACATRTTTTATGAAATCCAACATTCTCATCGAGTAGTCTTTTCAAGCCTTGTATTGGAAACTAGAAAGCAACAAGAAATATCCAAAAGAAACATAAACATGAGAAAAAGCKTTTATRTACATKAAATAAACCSAYMATATTRTCAATTGCCTCGTTAGCGCAGTAGGCAGCGCGTCAGTCTCATAATCTGAAGGTCGTGAGTTCGATCCTCACACGGGGCATCTACTTTTTTTTTCAATATCTTTTTTTTTCTACTTTTTTTTTCTAATATCTTTTTTTTTCTCTTCCTTATTTTGATAATATCATTAAGCAATGGGAAGACTTTRAAATAAGCATATAATGAATAGGTTAAAATGTTTAAAATTACCTTATGTAGCCATGTTCGTAAAAGTGTAAGCAGGTTTCTGCACATGGGCAATAAAACWGCACTRSAACTCACCCAAAGTACTGCAGCTGACCCTCTAGACCAACCAAGACTTTCCTTAAATTACACATAAACTTAAAATTATTTAGTAAAYATTAATTCATTCGGTCTAATGAGCATCCTCGGGATCCTCATGCTCATTCCTCGTTCCATGTCAAATATTGAGATGGGATTGAGAC